GTAACCATCTCCCTTTCTGAATATGGTCATTGTTATCACTATTTCTAGATGGTGGCTAGCAGTGGAATCCATGACGCGCGTTTCGTCCTATTTCGGCCTCGTCAGATGGATGTAGTTACAACACAGAGTTGATGCTCACTCCTGGCCTCAAACCCAGTAACATTCACTTCAAATGTCATCGAGTTATCTACTTAGATACTGAGTACTAATAACCACTTGATTGTGCAATGGGATGAAGTTTAAATTCACTTGGTATTGTTTGATTGAATCTTCCCAATGTTGTTTTGGACTGAGTTGTGAATTCTACTGCTAGCCAACACTCCTCTTTGTTTATGAAGCTTGTGACTTAAGGCAATATCGAGGCAGTCCGCACAGGATGCATCTATGCCAACCAAAGATTAATAAATCGCGGTCCTAAACAGCAATGCGAAGATTCAAGCAAAGAATACTAACTGAATTTAATGATATTTATATTGTGAGGGTTTGTAGAGATAGTGGTAATTTTAATAGTTGAATTCATGAGTCGATCTCAGTAAGGACACCGTTGAAAACCTGAAAGGACTAGACGGCCATTTTATTTTAGTGACTTGCTTCAAGATGGATTTTCTGAAGTTCTAGTGAAAGTCGTAACTAGTAGAGTCCCATACTAGAACGAACTGGCCTTCCAGTGCTTCTAGATTTCCCATAGTAGTCTAACTTCAATGGACTGTTGATATGAACTCCTGAAAATACATAATAATTGTGCGTTTTTTTCAGTTTTTCTAATTTATCTTAATTTGAAGAAAAAACAGGAAAAAAAGATATTTTACATATAGGAACAAAAATCAAATCAATAGGAGACATAACCAAAACAAAGAAGTAAACAATGACAAATTTAAGGCTGGTAAGAACCAATTAACATCGAGGCATACAGAACAAGCTGTGAAACGCATATGGAGAAATTCCAACACTTCACTCCTATTTGAAGTTTCTGATGATGTCGTTCAGAAGAACGATGAAAACTTTACGACCAAACCATCCTGCTCAGGGAACAGAACTCCATCAAAACCATCCACCTGAGCTACAAATCTTCTTCACTTGACTTCGAATCCTCATTCCCTGTTGTTGTTGTTGCTATCGATGAAAAATTTTGTAGGGTCGTTTTTGTAAAAACAAAAAAAGAAATAAGTAAATCACGATTGAATTTATATTGATTAATTGATTTTCTAAGGTGATTCATTATTGATCGATTGATCGATTGATCGATCGATTGATTGATTGATGTCTCAATGTGCATAGATAGAGTTACTTGTAAACATGTATAGATATTGTTTCATTGTTTAAAAGAAAAGGAATAATATTGAAATTGGCGTTTTAAGGTTGTAATGAAAAGATTAGAATTGAAAATAAAAGATTGAAAATATAAAAAGAAAAAAAAAAGTAGAATAACCCGTATATTGTCAAAATTTTTAATTAAAAGAGAATTTATGATTTTGTTTTCCTTAGAGATTAATGTCAACATATGAAACCTAAATGGATTATGTAATATTAGATGATAAGATGGAAATAATTATGCAAAGATCAATATTTGATTGATTCTAATCATAAATATCTATTAAAGACTAGTGTTGATGTGGAACAGATTATATATATAGATAGATAGATTAGCATGATAAATCATGAACGTTATCATCAAATATCTAAGATGATTATAATCACTGTTATGTAAGAGTGAGTGTTAGAGAGAGAGATAAATAGAGACTGTTTTACGCTGATGATTCCTGTATAGGATGAATCAAAATGAAGATTATTACAAGTACAGTTTACTGATTATATTATCAGTCAAATATTAAATCAGAAGGGATTGTGTGGAGATTTTAGAAATTTCACTGGTTGAAATCATGAATCCATTGAAGCTAGACCACCATGGCCGTCCAGTGCTTCCAGGTTTTCCATGGTAGTCTAGCTTCAATGGATTCATGATTTCAACCAGTGAAATATTAAATCATTAATAAATCTGTAGGCTAGACAAGTAATGTCAGTGAATTACAATTTCTCAGATAAAAATGGCTTAATTCTAAAGCATTGATTATGAAGAAAGTTAAACATTAATAATAAAACAAAAGTGAAAAATGTAGATAATTAGCTCACATTTATATTTTTTTCCTCAGTTCTTTTATTCTAACTCATAGATTGTAATGCGGCCTATGCTCCATTGAGAGTAATAGGCGTAGGTAAATATGTAAGCATAGATTGTAATGGAAATTGATATGTTCTCTAGAAGTATCCAATATCAAACTTTTATGTATTTACATTCATACAATTGAAGAAGAATTTAGGAAAAGACGATGGAAATGGATAGGACATACATTGAGGAAATCATCAAACTGCATTACGAGACAAGCGCTAACTTGGAATCCTGAAGGGAAGCGGAAAAGAGAAGGCCAAAGAACACATTACATCGGGAAATAGAAGCAGATATGAAAAAGATGAATAAGAACTGGAAAGAGCTTGAAAGGATTGCCCAGGATAGGGTTGGATGGAGAAGGCTGGTGAGCGGGCTATGCTCCTTCACGAGGAGTAACAGGCGTAAGGAAGTAATTGAAGAACATATGGAACTTAAAATAACTGTCTATCAACTAATATCAAAGTTACAATCTTTAATACAAATGTCAATACAGTCCTACTCTATGGAGATGAGACTTCGAGAACTACAACAATCATCATCACAAATGTACGAGTATTTATAAATAGATGTCTACGCAAGATACTCAACATCCATTGGTCGAATACCATCAGTAACAGCATTCTGTGAGAGAGAACAAACCAACTTCCAGCTCAAAAGGAAATTAGAAAAAAACGATGGAAATGAATAGAGCATACATTATGGAAATCAACAAACTGCATCATGAGGAAAGCATTAACTTGGAATGTTGAAGGGAAGCGAAAAAGAGGAAGGTCGAAGAACACATTACGTCGGGAAATGGAAGTAGATATGAAAAGGATGAATAACAGCAGGAAAAAATTAACGAGGACAAATTTGGATGAATAATGGTGGTAGGCAGCCTATGCTCCTCCACGACGTGGGGTAATAGACGTATTTAAGTAAGTACATAAATAATTTTCAATCGATTTGTTTAAAATAACTTGAAAGTAAGCTTAAATAGTTTTATCATCCTTTTATTACTTTCAGAGTTCGAGAGTCTTAGGTTTAAATGTAAAAAGTTCCTATAAACTCTTATATTGAATGAGATGAAGTGGCTGGCCCCCACGAAATGAAATAACATATGTTGTAAGGAAAAGACTACTACAGGATTCACAATATAAAAATAACAAAATTATAATGAATATAAAGCTTTAATGATAAGGAATGAGTTTTTCTAGGCTATAAATTGCTTTACTCGATGTAGAAACTTCTAACAAAGAAAAAAAACTCTATTCCCATGGTTAAACATTATCCAGTCATAAAGAATCTTCATATGACAGATTCATATTTCAATGGTTGAGATCATGAGTCAATTGAGGCTAGATCACCATGGAAAATCTGGAATGTCTTATATACTAAACAAAGGTTAATTTGACCATACTCAACATACAGTCCAAAATAGACATCACAGTGTTTTTACTATCATTCATTATTGATGATTAACTGTGTTAAATCTGATTAATTTGAGGTTACAATATACTCAAGCTAATTTACCTATAAACCATGGATACGCATGGTCAATAAATAACTTCTCTATTTTATATTAAATGATAATTTAACCCATTACTCAGTAATATTACAAAACATGCATTCATGGATTGCTTGACTCCTCATGAGGATTGTGGATACACACTGTAAATTACATAACTGACTACTAAAACGGAGTTTCAAATGATTATATTACCAAAATGGAATATAGTTGTTGAACAAAGAGTTCACAGAAGTAATCTTTCATAACAAAAATTGTATGCTTTGGGGGTATTTTATCATGGAATGGTTTTCGTTGATGAACCAATAAACACAAGAAAGCATAATCTAGGCGTTTTATCTCAGAATGAGACTACTCAGTAGTATGTATCTATGATTCGACCAAGAGTTAAATTTTGTTATCTTTAATTAAAGCAGAGGGCTTTATCCAATACACTATCGTTTTGAATAGTACCTAAACTAAAGTCATTCAGTGATATCATCTAGAATCAAATCAATTTATTAAATTGACTATCTATGTAAACTGTTCTTTCAAATGATAACAAAGTAGTGCTTTTTAATTAATTCAACAGTTTGCGGTTGTGGTTTCAGTTACTATGTGAAGCCCACATGCTTCATTCTAGCTTCCGGACAGCTCAGTCTATTCATTCTACTTGATTCAGATTCTGATCTTGATAATTATTCGCTTATCTAATCTTGACTGGTCTTATATGAGCGCGTAGATGTGTGTACATTTCTTATCCCATTACTTATTTTCGTGTAACTATAAATATTGATTAATGTTTGGTTAAATGGGAGTTGGTTTACCCGACATCTTCTCTCTATTCTATTTGCTCCATATACAAGATATATGTATTCAAAAGTCCATTCTCGTTATTTGACTTATTTAATTCCGTTATTGACTAACGTGATTTAAGTCGATGATTATATACAAGGATAGGCGATAACAAACATTCATACGATCTAATTGGAATCAGATCTCGAGTCACTAAAAGGTTTTTTAGTGAGAAGAGAATGTATGCATTCTAGAGAGCTTAACAACAAACCTCTACAACATTTTAAGAACCATAGTAATCCCCTAAGTAGATAACAATACAAGAAAAGCTTGTTTCTAGAAAGTTAAAACTCTGACCGATATCGACAAAAAAATGATCAATATGATAGATAATATGAATTAAAAGTTACGATAATCTTTCTTATTCATCAGAGCTACAGTTGCTTTACAAAAAATAATAAAAAAAAAAGAAGAAAACATTAAATAACTTACAACCTTAGTAACAATACAATAAATATGATCATCAATAATCATCATTAGAAATTCACTCACATTTTGAACAGTATCTGATTTCCTTTTCCATTCTTCCAGAATTAAATTACGTGTAAGTTTTTTATCATTCCATGATTTACTATGTTGTTGTTGTTGTTTTTGTTTTTGTTGCTTCGGTTGTTGTTGTTGTTGTTGTTGTTTTTGCTTATTCACTTGTTCACATTGTCGTTGTATTGTTGATGATGATGATGATGATAATGATAATGCTGGCGGTGGTAATTCTATAAGATTCTCTGATAATTGTCTTTTATATAATTGATTAAAACTTGTATTCTGTATAAAACATTCATTACCATGATCATTATCATCATTATGATCATCATCATTATCACCGTCATCAATATAAGAATTTATTAACTTGGTATTTTTAGTTTGTATATTATTATGATAATCATTAGAATAACGAGTTCTTTGTTTTAATCTTAAAGCTAATGAATACCAATTCAATGTAGGATTGACATGTTTCACTATATTTGATGATGATGATAATGGTGATGATGGTGATAATAATGATGTTGAAGATGATCTATTGAAATAACGTGATAATTGATTTTTATTACGTTGATTCATTTTATGATATAAATGATCAGTTGATGATGATGATGATAATAATAATAATGATTTATTAAATGATTTACGTCGTAATTTTACATTGATTGCATTGATTTCTTTTAATTGATCATAATTAGTATCAGTCTTAGCAACATTATTAGTAGTATTAGTAGTAGTAGTAGTATCGTTTGAAGATATTATTGGAGGTGATATTAAAGATTCCTCACTTGTAGTTGGTAATAGAAGAGATGGTTGAGATTTTGAAATAACCAATGATGATAACATTATACAATATTACATAATAATAATAATAATACTTATTTGAATTCAATGAATTCAATCACTTTCAAATGATGAATAATGATAGAAGTATACGTTAATATATTTGTTCCTTTTCTGAGATTATTGTTAATTGAATTTAATCCAATATAGTCTGTAAACAGCTTCAGGAATAAGTTTCATCTACTTATGATGTAATGATTATTGTTATTATTACCGATACACATTCATTTATAAAAAATGTTTGTTACTAAGTCTATTTGATTGTGAATAAAATGTGTATTTATTGGATAAAACTATTTTTAATGATTCTAAATTTTAGTTCTATTCTAATTTCTTTTACTAATTTCTTCGTAATATCATATGATATAATAAGTTGTAAGTATATATACACTACTCCTCTTACCCCTACTACTCCTACTCATACTCCTACTCCTACTACCACCACTACTACCACTACTATTAATAATAATAATAATAATAATAATAAACAGATACCTTCTCTCTTCATACTTAGCACAGGTAATAAAATCTCTCTGTATGTGTGTGTGTGTTTTGTGTACATGCTGTCAATGTGATTAAATATGGCATTATTGTTGATGAGGTTGGTGATGAACTGCTGTTCAATATTAATATTTAATTGAACATTGAAATTTTAACTCGTTTTTTTCTTCTCGTTCTTTATAAAACAAACATTTTTTTTTCTGGTCATGTGTGAAATAAAATGTGAAATTTATCGATGTTAGATTATTATGATGATTATTACTATTATTATTATAATTACTTACTACTAACTTACGCCTGTTACTCCTCAAAAAGGAGCATAGGCCACCCACCAGCACTCTCCATTCAACCCTATCCTGGGAAATCCTTTCCAGCTTTTTCCAATTGTTATTCGTCCTTTTCATATCTACTTCCATTTCCCGACGTAGTGTGTTCTTCGGTCTTCCACTTTACCGTTTCTCTTCATGATTCCAAGTTAGTGCTTGCCTCGTGATGCAGTTTGTTGATTTCCATAATGTATGTCCTATCCACCAACTCCATCACCTATTCCTAATTTCCTTTTGAGCTGGAAGTTGGTTTGTCCTCTCCCACAGATTATTATTACTAATATTATTGTCGAATGATGAATGAATGAATGAATGAATGAAGGAACTTGTGCTGAATAAAGCTACATTAAACTATTGGTTATCTTTATACTGATCAAACATGATAACATATAAGTTAAAAAATGATAAAAAAGTGAAGTTGGCTAGCTATTTCATCTTAAGATATTATAAAACCCTTATTAGCTTATGATCGTGATCCATTAGTTATTGTGGTGTGGGTTACTTATATCCACACAAGTAGTATATAAAGGTGGTCAGGTATAGAATGTATTTCATTAGAAGGTCGATAAGGAAAGAACAGGAACAGAAATCAGTTGATATGAAAACGCATGAACAATGAAATCTGAGACAATCGATTGATGTTTTCAACAAGAACATTCAAGTTTGAAATGATGAATTGATATTTTTTACAAATTAACAATTTACCATTAGGTTCTCAGATTTTATTGTGATGCTCTGTAACTTCTGAATGTCCCCACTTGTATTCATGTTCACTATGATATCAATAGTTGAGTATATTGCTCATCCTTTTTTTCATTCCATTATTCTTACTTTAATCAATTACTCTATGGGAATTGAAACTTATTGATTAGTTATTTGGTTAAATTTTGGTTCATCAATTGATACGCAAATAAAAAATAATTAAAAAAACAAAACAAAACAAAACAAACAGATCACTCCTTAACTACTAATATAGAAAACCTTGGTTTTTTTTATTTTTTTTAATTTTTTAATATTTCATACTTTTGATTATAAAAAATATAATAAAATTTCTTGTCATCTACCATGTGACTTATTGTATTTAACTTTACATTTAATCTCAAATAATGTAACACGTATCATAATTGTGTTTCATATCAAATTAGTTGAGATGAACAGTATTGAATGAGAATTGTATTTAGAACACGTTCGGGTTGTGTTTTTTTTAGTTTTTAATAATGTTTGAACAATGTATATTATTAATTAATGTCATGACAACAATTGTAATGATCAATGATACAAATGTTATATCTTTAGATTATATATACAATGATCATGAAATACATTTGCCAATTTAGGTATATTGATTTATACGACTAAATTAATCACGCATATATACTAGTATCCGGAACTCAGACGATGGACAACAGTGGAAGGTCATGCATGGAGGACAACTGATAGATGCATTCCAAGTAATGGACAAAGTTAGACAAGGCTGTCTACTTTCTCCCTTATTCCGTCTTCTGATTGTCAACAGTGTAACGTCATTCATGGAGAACAGCTGACAGATGCATTCCAAGTAAAGAAATGGAGTGAGTAAAGGCTGTCTACTCTCTCCCTTCCTCTTTCTTCTGGTCATCGACTGGATTATGAAGACTTCGATATCTGAGAGAAAACACAACATACGATGGACAGCTCAGAACCAATTACATGACTTGGACTTCGCAGATCACCTAGCCCACTTATCCCATACACACGAACAAATGCACATAAAGACTGCCAGCATAGCATCAGTCTCTGCATCAGTAAGCCTCAACATACACAAGGGAGAAAAGGTCCTCAAATACAACACGGAGAACAGCTATCCAATCACTCTTGATGGCGAAACTCTGAGAAATGTAAAATTCTTCACATATCTGAGAAGCATCATCATCGATAAACAAGGACGCTCAGATGCAGACGTAAAACCGAGGATTGGCAAAGCAAGGGCCACATTCATACAATTGAACAATATATGGAACTCAAAACAACTGTCTGTCAACCAATATCAAAGTCACAATCTTCAATACGAACGTCAAAGCTGAAACTTGGAGAATTAGAAGAACCACCATCAAGAAGGTACAAGTATTTATCAATAAATGTCTACGCAAGATACTCAACATCCATTGGTCGGATACCATCAGTAACAGCATTCTGTGAGAGAGAAAAAACCACCTTCCAGCTGAAATTGGAAATTAGAAAAAGACGATGGAAATGGATAGGACATACATTACGCAAATCATCAAACTGCATCACGAGGCAAGCCCTAACTTGTAATCCTGAAGGGAAGAGGAAAAGAGGAAGGCCAAAGAACACATTACGTTGGGAAATAGAAGTAGATATGAAAAGGATGAATAACAACTGGAAAGAGCTGGAAAGAATTGCTGGTGGGTGGCCTATGTTCCTTCATGTGGAGTAACAGGCGTAAGTAAGTAAGTCTTTTATCGCCCAACCCTGCCTACTGAGTCCAGAACATCAATCTGAGCCTCCGCGATGTGAATCATGTCTTTCAAATATACTTGGTTTATATGCAAGCTAAAGAAACCACATCATATCGTAAAATAAAAAATAACATTTGTACAAGATCAAGCCAAAAGTGGCTGTGATTGTAGTAGATTGTAATTTATAGACTGGGCATAACTGAAGAATGGTAAATCGTATAGTAATAGTCTACGGGTCAAAATAAAGCTTATCAATCCTTCTTGCTGCCTAGCTCTATCTGTTAAATTCAGAAAGACAGTCTCAGCCTCTACGATATAAATCATGTTTCAAATATACTTTGTTTATGTACAAGCTAAACAGACCATATCATATCATAAAATAGAAAACAACATGTGTACAAGATCAAGCCCAAAAGTGGCTGTGGTTGTGAGAAACTGTTATTAATAAATTAAGAATAACTTGAGAATAGTAAATCATATAACATTAACCAGTAAATCAAATTGTGAAGACATTCCATAGGTGAAATCGAGAAAGCTTTAAGAAGCTCAGAAAGAGCTGAAGATATTCTATCCAATCGTCTTTTGAAAGAATATTCCAGAAGCACTACGTGTAGATTCCCTATTGAACAAATGCGGATTGGAGGATTATAATAATGACTTCGTTTTTACCAAAAACTATAAATACCTGACAGTTTGTATCATAATTGACACTGTTTGAAATAGCACTCTTTTCACTTGTCTTCTGTCTTCTCATTTGCGACTTGAGAGTGTTCTAGCGTTCGATTGCTGAAGTCATACGCTGTATCTTAAGAATCTAAACTCTAGATATAGCACAAATAAAAGCTTATAGTGAAAGAAATATGAATATACATATAATATAGTTACTTGATGGTCCTACAATAAAAATATTCATATAATAATAGTCCATACGTAATTCCTAACGGTTACCGTTCATTTATTCTCCTCCAGATATAACAACAAGATTTTCAACTGAAATAATTTAACGATGTGAAAGTTTAATTCACTTGATATTGTTTTACTTGAATCTTCCGATTGATGTTTAGGACTGAAATTGTTCAGTCTCTTATTGGCATATGTGCGTACTGTGCGTACTGTGAGTATTGACTCTATATTGCCTTAATTTACAAGTATTATAAGCAAAGATGGATAGTGGCTAGCAGTGGAATCCAGTTTGACGCGCGTTTCGTCCTACTTTGGACTCGTCAGCTGAATGTACCTTCATCTCAGAGTTGATGTTCACTCCACCACTCGAACCCAGAACCATTTGCTTCAAACGCCATCGAGTTATCCGCCCAGCTACTGAGTCCTGATATCCATTTGCTTGTGCAATGGGGTGAATTTAAATTCACTTAATATTGTTTTGCTTGAATCTTCCCATTGAGGTTTAAAACTGCAATTGAAACGGGCGTCAACCTAGATTCCACTGCTAGTCACTATCCATCTTTACTTATATTGTTTCTTTTTATATAAGAAAAACAATATTAAAAGTAGACTGATTAAAATGAGAAATAGAATTTGTGTAAGTAAACCAGTTTGAGCCAGTCCAAAAATAAATTTTGTTTCTAACTTAAAAGTTTTAATGAATCAATTTTAAAAAAAAGTGATACAAATAGTATCAATATGGCTACTATAGAACCCTCATCAATATTATTTTATATCATTGATTCCTTTTAAGAGAATGAATAAAGCCAAAATAATCATTGAAATAGATTCATCTTTATGATATAATTTCTTTTAAATAACTATATTTACTTACTTAATTAATTACGCCAGTTACTCCTAAAAAAGAAGCATAGGCCTCTCACCAGCATTCTCCATCCAACCCTGTATTGGGCGATCCTATCTAGTTCTAGGCCACCCACCAACAATTCTTTCCAGCTCTTTCCAGCCGTTATTCATCCTTTTCATATCTACTTCTATTTCCCAACGT